ACACACACACACACACACACACACACACACACACACACAGCAGCAACTTTTAACACACTGCAACTCCTGGATGAAGGCACCAAAAGTGAGGAAACACATACCTTCCATCCTGCAGAGCTGTTGCTGTCTCCTTTATCTTTGAAATACGGCACACTCTTCACCATCCAGTCATAAATCTGGGACAGAGTGAGTCGGTTCTCGGGGGAACTTTCGATAGCTTTGGTTATGAGGTCTGCATATGACATATTCCCCCACGCGTTCCTCCGGGAGGAGCTGCTCTTCCTCTGGGCAGCGGCGGCAGCTGCAGCCGCGGCCGCCGAGGACGAGGATCCCACCGGGGAGGAGAGAAGAGGCACCTGCTGCTGCTGCTGCTGCTGATGCGGGAGCTGCGGGGTCTGGTGCTGCTGATGCTGCTGCTGCTGCTGCTGCTGCTGGAGAGGCTGCTGGTGGACGCAGCTCTCCCGACACTGGAAGTCGGTGCACAGGAGAACCGGCTTCTGCTCCGGAAAGTCCTCGCTCTCCTCCAGCAGACTCAGGTTGTTGATGAACTCGGCGTTGCCCGCGGGCTCCTGCTTCACGGAGGGCACCGGCGAGGACGTGTTGGAGTCGCCCGGGTTGATGAACTCCGGCCGCGGCAGGGGCCAAGTGCAGGAGCGGGGCCGCGACAGGGGCTCGAAGTCCGGGTCGATCTCCACCAGGTGTGGCTGCGGGGCCGCTTCCGCCATGGTCGAGAGCTGACGGAGCCAAAAAAAAAAAAAAAAAAGAAAGATAAAATGTTACACTGTCATGAAAATGCGACAGAACTGAGGCTCCGGGGGGAAACAAGTTTCAATGCCGCTTTCTGGAACGTGGAAGAATTCGGGAATGTGTCCGGGAAAACAGTTCTCCGCCTGGGCGACAACTCCTCACTTACATCCCCCGAATGAAAACACAGATCACGGGAGCGTGTCGGTGGAAAGTGCGCTCATGTGGAAGTAGAAAAACTTTGCGTCGGTGGTGATGTTGTGCTCGTGTCTGTTGATTCTGCGCGTTTACCAGCGTGACACGACTTTACTGGAAGTATCCCCTGCTGACACCGCCCACACGCGAGTGACACCGCAGCACAGCCAATCCTCGCTCTCCATGCTCTCCCCCGGCAAACATCTCATAGAACTCTCCAAACTCTTTAGTTTCGTTCAAAGTTAAACTTTCTCACATTTTTCATTATCACTCATAACATTGCTGTTATTTTTTTTTTTTGGGGGGGGGGGTGGAAACAGCATTTCTTTCATCCTTTACATTCAGTTACAGTCATTTGGTAATTATTCTTTTATTCTGTAAAAAACAAATCAAGAATTAGTTAGTATTGACTCCCATTTATTTACAATGAATGTTTTTTCTTTGTTGAGGGTTAAGGACAGAGGATGTCGCACCTCGTTAAAGGTTCACTGTGTAGAATCTAGTGACATCTAGTGTTGAAGTTTCATGTTGCAGCTGAACACCCCTCACCTCACACTCCCCTTCCAAACATGACAGAGAACCTGTGGCAGACTTCAGTTGTCATAAAAACTCAAAAGGTGTTTAGTTTGTCCTGTTTGCATTACTGTAAAAAACATGTCTGCCTCCATAGAGAGGATCCGCTCCTGAGGTAAATATAAGTATTTAAATATAAAGGGAACATTCTAGGGGAAAGAAAACAACAATTTGTACACACTAGTGAAAACATCACTAGGATTTTTTTTATATTCAATTTCTGCCAATAGATTCCTTTCACCGTAATCATACACACTGAACCTTTAAGCCCCATGAGGCAAATTGTGATTTGTTTGATTGATTGATATTTTCTTCATGAGTTACCTGTTTTTTTTTTTCATCAGAACCTTCTGATTTGTACCAGCAGGAAACAGCCCTGGTGTTCCTTATAATATTAATAATAATAACCACAACACAATTCAAGAGTCTCAGTATTCCATGTAAATCAAATGTCATTGTTAATAATTATAAATAACAACCATTACTTTCTATGGTACAGCTGCTACTCAAACTTGATCATGTGAAAATGTCTTCTAGGAAAAAAGGCTTGTACTCCAGTCATCATAACATATGACACATTAAAGTCAGAATAAGTTGACAAAACCTAATAACAAATACTAAAATAAACTCAAAATTACTAGTAGTACCTAAAAAAATATCCATATTAACTCTGTGTAAAAGTCTAATAGGATTTAAGAAGAGAAAATATTTAAAAAACAACCACTTTGATTGAAAGACAGGAGAAAAGAGAAACAGTCACAAAGCAGCTTCTGTCCTCAACTTGTTGTTTCTTTGTGTCCCGGTGTTCTCAGCTAACTTGGACTATACTGGCCTCTTGTGGCCATTTGTAGGTAATATAATCACACAAACGGGCAGCAGTGCATTATGTATTTACACTCTACCAAAATAAATGAGTGTCATATCCTTGTGAGATAAAAATAAAACGTGAAAATTATCAAAATAAAGCTACTTGACAAATGTTATTTTGAATCAATCAGGATTTAAATCAAAGATATATCGAGTATCCTAAAAAAAAAGTTAAAATATCTCAGGTGAGTAATTGTCACCAGATATAGAACAACTTAATAGGCCTGTTTATTAAAGACCGCATATTGGCGTATTTAGATGTAGCATCTTAATTCTACCTGTTGCATCAAGCTTTATTTTGTTTTTAAAACGAACTGTTTCCTATCTCATCACGACTTCCTCTGTTTAACCTGATGCAACTACCTGTGCGCTCCAGTGCGCGCGGCAGCAGCGGGGAGCTCGTTACGCACACGCCTCTGACTTTATGGGTCAGCTGCTGAGAAAAATCAAGTTCCATCTCCAGTCCAGCTGAATTAAAAACTGGCTCTGACATAGTCCTTTGCTCCTGGTAAAGAAATGCATTGAATTAGTTTCCGTCTGTGAAGTTACCCGCAGTGAAAACGTGTTGTGCGCCAGGGTGTTGGCCTTTTTAACAATTTACGCTCTAGTGAATCCATGTGCTGTGGCACAGTAAGTTCTTTTCAGGGGAGAAGAAAAGAGATTGGAGAACAGCAGGTGAAGAAGAACACAGGTGAGCATCAAATATGTTTCACTGTCCTGTCTTATGCCTGTACACTTTCATTTCTTGCCACTTATTTTAAGTTGTCTCTTTGTATTTGTGTGTGAGGAGCTGAAGATGTGGTTATTAAGTAGCCTCAGTGTGTTTTGATATTTCAGGTTCCCTGCATCTTTGGAAACAGGATGGCTCCACACCCTGCTATCCAGGTCATCATTGACTTCACTGCTGGAGCAATAGGTGGGTTAGAGCAGGTCAAACCATGAATCCTGACTAATTTCATAATAAATCAAGATATTCTGTCATTATATTGACTTGTTTTTTATTCCCATTAATCCTCAAACAACAGACAACTATCAAATTTCCCTCATTAGAAAGGCTTCATTTCTTAATTTTTAAGATAATGATAATTGTGATTGTTGCACTGAAACACTATTTAGATCATGTATACTAAAGATTGTAACTTTTAAAATTGACAAATTGTGTAAGGATGGCCTGTAGTGATCTCCCTGTAACATTTAGGGGTAATAGGAAATTAAGATTGAGGCTTCGGTCAGCAGGAAGCCACATGAGTAGATTTTGTTTTTTTTTGTTTTTCTTATTGTAGAGCACTGTGGAGTAAGTGTTTTCACAAAGTCGTGTCCATAACAGTAAAGGTGTGGAAACTTAAGTGGACTCTGGTAAAGTCATGAACTCGTGTGCGTCGCCCTCCTCCCCATCGTGCTGTTTCCTCAGGTGGGACAGCGTGTGTGTTCAGTGGTCAGGCATTTGACACCACCAAGGTGAAGATGCAGACGTTCCCCACCATGTACCGCGGCTTCTTCCACTGCTTCATCTCCACCTACAGACAGGTGGGGGTCCGGGGCCTCTACAAAGGCATGACCCCAGCCCTCATTGCCAACATCAGTGAGAACGCAGTGCTGTTCTTGAGTTATGGCCTCTGCCAGGACGCTGTGCGCTTCTTGTGTGGTACGGCCAAAGGGCAGCAGCTCAGGTTTGACACAGATTTTCTATGATCCTATGATGATGAGCTGATGAATTATCAGTTAAACAGGAGATGAGAGCAGGGAAATTGTCAGATAAAGATTAATGGCTCCATTTGTTTCTGAGTCTCATGTCTTTTTGATTGTGAATAACCTTAAATAACCTGTGTACGATAATGTGCCACATAAATTGATGTTTTCAATGGGAAAAAGGTCTGTCAATACTGTCAGCCAGTCTCTGGGCATGGTTGCAACCCCCTACTATTGCATGTTAGTATTTTAAAAATGCAACCTGCTTGTGAAGAAAAACCTGTGAAACTAGAATAATGACATTCAGGGACACCTCCAGGGCAGGAATCTCATAGTTTGCATCACACCGTAAAACTCAGCAGATACGAGGAGATTATTTCCTGAGGAATTGATGTTAATGTGAAAAAAAAAGTCTCGTAATGTTAAGGAAGGTGAGGAAAACCTTTAACCAGATCTGCACAAACATTTGATGGATTCTTTCCTGGCCCATGCCCCGTCACTTGCAAATTAGTTTAATACCTTTTGCAGACTGATAAACAAACCAACATAAGGAAACATAACCTCCTCTGCAAGGGTACAAAAAGGTAAATCACTCTAATTGTGTGAAGCCAAATTGTGTCCAGTATGAATTTTGATTACCATTTCTTAGAAGTAGCTGTTTTTCTCATTCCAATTTAAGTGTCTCGTGTAGAAGAGGAAATGTTGAGAAAGATTTTAGTGAATTAATGGAACCGAAACTAGAAAAGTAGGATTCTGAAATCATACTGTGGAGGAAACACGTTGCCAAGTCATGAGGAAACAAATTGTTGTGTGCCTCATTTCTACCAAATATAGACATTCATCAGTAAAACAAATAATAAAAGAAATCAGTACAATCTGAGAGTATATGTCTGATAGTTATAAACCAGTGAGGTGAGCAATAGAAATTGGTTTCTAATGGGATTTTTTTGTCGTGGAGAAAATATGTTTGACCAAAGTAAAAGTACAAATAAACAGACAAAAATGTACTACAGTAAAACATGTTCTACTTGTTTAAAGTATCTGTTGAGTGTAGCTTATGCACAGGTCAACTACATCATTGTGGCTGAGTCTCTGCCTCCACTGCTTTGATTGTTTAGTTCACTGACTGAACTTCCTTTTATTGCCCACCAGTGATCTACAGATGGCAGTAGCGGGGTCTTTTTCCTCCATCTTCTCCTCCTTGGCACAGTGCCCCCCCGAGCTGGTCAAGTGTCGCTTGCAGGCCATGCACGAAATGGAGGCGTCTGGAAGGATCGCAGGCGGACAGAGGAGGTCGGGAGGTCAAACAGAGAGACTGAGCAAAACTTGTTCGGTTTCAGTTGATGCGGTTTTGACTGGGTCATGGTTTGTGTGTGTGACTTCAGCACCATGTGGACAGTAGTGAAGACTGTCATGAGGAACAATGGTCCCCTGGGTTTCTACCAAGGACTGACTTCTACCTACGTCAGGGACATACCAGGTTACTTCTGCTTCTTCGGGGCGTATGAACTCTGTCGCTCTACGTTTGCGCGGCACATGGGCACAGACAAGGATGGGATAGGTATGGTTGAATGATTTTCCTTTTATATATCGAGGCATTTTTCCGATTATGTTGTGACATTTTTTGTGATATGGTCCCATGCAGGTGTTCTTCCAGTCATGTTCAGTGGTGGATTTGCGGGAGCTTGTCTTTGGTTGGCGGTTTTTCCCATCGACTGCGTGAAGTCAAGGATCCAGGTGCACTCACTTGCTGGGAGGCAACAGGGCTTCATGAAAACCTTCTTGGGTGTTGTACGCACCGAAGGTAAGATGTGATTATGACTTCTATCAATTCTATAATTTGAAATTTAACGTCACCCCGATGTTTGGCTGTGGTGACTCCCCTCAAGGCTACCAACCACCCCCACCACTCGTTTGATTAGAGGGTGTTAACTTTTTCATATGTAGAGATGTAGAGATGTCCCAAAGGGTTGAGTCTATGTACGTAAGCATTGGTCCAAGAGCCATGGTCATGAGCCATGTTTAACCCATTAAAAAATTTCTTATAAATGTCAGCATTAATGTATTTCATCAAAGAACAGTCATATTATTTAAGTGCAGCATCTCTTTAAATACACCTACATTTTAGCAGCTTCTTAAACTCCTCAGACGTTTCTAAATCTGACCATATGTGACAATAGCTGACTGCTTTATATCATATGACCATATAATCATAGTGTGATGGAGTGCACACGTATGATTATGCTCTTTTTAAATGACCGAGGTGCAGTCAAGAACAATGCTTGACTATCTTATCATGAATAAGCCTCTGGGGCAATGGCTATTATTTCGGGGTTCCATTGTAGATATAGACCAAAACTTACCCGTTCACTGTGTTCACGAGTTTCCTTTATCACACAAGTCGATGTTTATGATACCTTTTAGGGCTAGATTACATTTTAGTTTTTTGTTTTCATTTTAGTTTTTCTGTCGAATGTGTTCCACCTCCACATGGACTGTTCACCTGCGGACAACCAAAGCCTGTTTAAATGCAACTGGTCCAACTAGAAATGGAAACCAAGAGGACATCAGCTCCAAAAATGCATATTCACATGCTGTATCTGTTTATGGAGATTAGTTGTCTGCTAAACCTGTCCGATGCCTGGCTCCTACAGTCTTTATGGCCAAGTGTCCTTGGGCAAGATACTTAAACCCCAAATGTCCACTGACAGCTGCATGTGACAGAAAAAGCAGTGTGTATATATCCATCTGCAGTTTACCTCTGATCTTTGTCTTTGCACTTTATGTGCAGTGTTACAGCCCCATGATGCACCATCTGCACCACCTGCTGGTATAATGATGACAGTGAATGGGTGTCTTCAGCATATTAATTGGTCTGGGTTTTATGCCAAATTAAAGAGTTACTGTAAACCTAAGGATGTAATAATGAACAGGGAAGAGTTGTTAAACTTTCCCCGAGGGGCTTAATAAAAGAGCAGAAGTCTTTAAACTTTGCAGAGGTTTAAATGCACCGCTACTGATTTGTCTTTGCTGCAGAGTGTCGACGCATCTTGTTACTAATTGGCCCGAGCTGTGGTCCTGACTCATCCGTGGGGAACGTCCTGTTTGACTCTCTCTTGTTCCCACAGGGTTCATGGCTCTGTACTCGGGCCTGACTCCTACCATGATACGCACCTTCCCTGCCAACGGAGCGCTCTTCCTGACTTACGAATGTAGTCGAAAGTTTATGATGGAAACCGTCGGTGCCTGATGTGGAGAATATTTCCAAAAACTAAAGACGACAGGATGAAAGATAGAAAACAAAGAGGGATTCAATAAAAAGAGAGGACGAGTCAAATTAATCTAACAAACACGTCATGTCTTTATTAATGATATGATATGAGCTAAAAAAATTATAAATGTATTTGTGTTTCCAGTGGAGCTGTATCAAACTGTCTTGTGCTGGCCCCAGTAATTTTAATAAAGTTTTAATCTCACCATAATGCTTTATATGCAGTATATCTGCGAACAAGTTACTGCATGATCGATTCCTTGGTTTAGCATCAACAATATTTTTCAGTGAACAAACGTTTTGTCAGTCAAATCAGAAGAAGAGAGGAGAACATTAGCAGCCGGTTCAATGTGTCCCGGTAAACAGCCTAACTCTGTTTAACAAACCTCAATCATTGTATTATTATATTTTATTTTCAGTGCAGTTCCCAAATGTTTCTTCTGCAATAAAAATAACAAACTCATCTTTACTTAAGCAAATTCTGAGTTGCCTGTCCTAGAATGGATCCTGTTCACAGTAATCTGAAGTGAACACAAGTCTCACAGCAGAAAAGAGAATCATTCTGCTAAAATGGACTATATTTATTTCATGAGATGCTGTCACTAAGCTCTGACTTTATTACCTTCCCAGATTATGTTGATTTAATGGAGATTATATGCAACGATGAGCCTGTATGTAGGTGGATGCTGGGGTGGTGGAGGGGCTGAATCCACAGGCAGGAAGCCTTATGCAAAGCTGCAGAGGCACTGACGAGCAAAGAGAGAGGTGAAAAATCTTTGCATCTTAAATATACCATTGTGGAGGAATATCCACATTGGGAGGCTGTGTGTGATGGCGGACTGTGAAGAGTGAGGCATGTCACATGATCACAGCCGTGCATCTTGAGTTGAACGAGCTCGCAGTAGTCACTCCATTTTTGGAAGTGGTTTTTTCAAACTGGTATTTATCAAACCTCCCTGCTCAGTCAATGAAATCCTTAAAACAAGAAATCTCTTGGAGTCGATTGGAGTTTGACATTTGCATCCACTACTTAAAAGGTAAAACTTTTACAATATGAATACTCAAAATGTAATTTAGTTGTTTAATTTGAAAGCGTTATTATAATTATTTACATCCCCTAATGGAATATAAACCAAATTCGGCCTCACCCAAATCAAAAGCCTGCGAACACACAGATTCATAAATGTAAAAACAATTTCACACTTTTGTGGGAGCATTTTTTAAGAAGTACAGTGAGAATTCATGTGCCAATCATGTCATGAACTTCACATCGTAGAAGTGACCTATCAGGTTTTACATGACTAATTGCTGTATGTATTAACATTCTTGGTAACATCTAATTTCTTCATTTAACTTCTTCTTTCCATATGTGTAGTTTCCCCTCGTGTGTTTTATTTTACTTCCGTACAATACATTTCTAATAAATCTTGTTTCTCTTGTCTCTACACATTTTAAATGGAGGGAAACTTACATGAGCGTGCGAACACATCTCCTCGTTCCCTCAGCAGCTCTCATGTTTCACGACATGGAAGCCTCCCATTGTTTATTCATTAGCTGCCCTAAGCAGGTGTCAGACTCCTGGATGTCAATGTAAGAATATAATAAAGCACAAGAGCTGAACTGTGAGCTCTCCAATACAAGAGACACATACAAGGCTGGTTATAGGCTCATGTTACCCGATGGCACCCAATCAGATGAGTCCAGGAGTCACACACAACGAGTGAGTGGGAGTTTATGTGTGTGTGTGTGTCTCATGGAAAGAAGTAAGTGATGAGGGCAGGGAGACAGACCCCACCCCGCAGGGAGTAGAGACGGGTAAACAAGAGCAGCTCTGGTTCACTCCATCACACCGACAACACGCTCACTAATGATCTCAACAACGTCCAGCACGGCAGAGATGGTCACACAAGGTAAACTTCAGATCAACGCTGTGGAGGAAATAGAAGGTAAGAACCTTTTCTTATGAACTTTTTAAAAAGTGAATCTTACTATTGACTTGTTGAACTCTCTCAGCAACTGTGCCTGATGGACAACAGTGGGGGGAACATGCTGGGGATGATAAATATTGTTAAAGGGCCCTGAGGTGAGCTGGAACTCCAGGAATGTCTAGTTATCACAAATATTACAGAATATTGTTTATGCTAACATTATTATTTTTATTTTTAACGAATAATTTTACAAACAAACAGCAACAAATATATGGTGTAAACAGGGATCAGGAAAAACTACAAACAACAAAATAATTGAAATGAAAAAAAACTTAAGTGTTACTTATTTCCTTCAGGATTGACGTTGTATTGTACATTGACATTAGTTTCCATAGCTTCAAACACTGTTTGTGGTCCTGGAACTCAACTAGTGCATTATTCATGAGGCATTACAATGAATGGATTCTATTGTTGCCCACATGCCCTTGATAAATCATATCCAAGAAAAAACAAAACACACATCCAGCATGAACCGGATTTAGGTCTATGATTTACAAATTTGGATAACAACATTTATATTTCTGGATGTGACCTCACAGAGGAATCGTTTTATCAAGAAGAGACCATGTCAATAGTTCAGCAGCTTTACATAACACCATGTGACTCTGGTGAACGTGGAGCTGTGTGACTTCCCTCAGAGATTAATTAAACATGTGGATCCACCACCTCGCCACATGATAGCGTTGAATGTTTTGTGTCACCTTCAGTAAAAGGTGCTGTCCCACTGGACCGTGTTACTGCTCAAATCTTCAGCTGGAATGACAAAGACAAATCTGCACTGGTCTGGACAGAAATGCTCTCATGTGTGGAAAATATGCAGTGTGTCCCTGTACTCGAGGTTCTAACATGTTTTCTGTTCCCTCTGCAGATAAAAGCTCAGGGAGACTGGGATGTTTCGGTTGGCTATTGGTCATCATATCCCTCCTCTTTGTAGCTGTCACCTTCCCGCTCACATTATTCATGTGTGTTAAGGTAAATTATTCTCCTTGGTGTATAGTCGTGATTTATTAAAATTTGTATACGCTTCCCAGGATCCTTTAATTACCTTTCTCTGCGACAGTATCTGTATCTCAAGTGTTTTTTACAGGTTGGCAGCTCTTTAAAGTCGAATATGTGGAGGCCTTAATGTCACAACAACGTTATTCAAATTGCAACGATGAGGTTTTTGTTTGTAAAAAAACCCCAGTGATTGTTTTTTTATCGTCTGTTTATTCATCACAGGTGCATTGCCATGTGCAATAGTACCTGCAGGGCACAGCAATTGGACATTTAGGATGTGATTCTTTACAAACTGGTATCAAATCAGGGAAACTCTCAGCATCTATTCAGTTGTTGGGAATGGACCTTTCATAATTTACAATAATGTATTATGCCAATGATTCAATGACACATGCACTGAAGCTGCGCTCTGAGAGAAACCACAGTCACATTTGACCTACACTGAGTTGATACTGACAGCATATTACATGAATTTAACATTTACAGTGATTTGCACGGATTTGTTATTGTGGTTTGTGTGACTGGTTGTGTGTCTAACAACCAGATTATAAAGGAGTACGAGCGAGCCGTCATTTTCAGACTCGGCCGGATCACAGACAGGAAACCTAAAGGGCCAGGTTTGTCAATTGATCTCCTAAAAACGTGCATTTACACTGAAAAGAAAGTCGACATGTACCATTGTTCTCAGGGGTTTGTTTGTAGTGGGAGAATGTGGGCTTTACTTGCTTTTACTGTCTAGATGCGTATGTGATAATGATTATGTTATTTGATTCCATCAAGAACTGAGCCCAGATTGCATCATTTTGTTGTTCAGACAAAGAAAGTGTTTGTTCGAAGACATTTAATATTTCCTGATGCTTGGAAAGTGTGAACAAACAAAAATTCCATTTCCTCAAAACTAAAGCATCTCTGAAATATTCCTATTTTCTTTCTGGCCAAGTTTCATGGAATGCTCAGTAAATGACTAAAAGCAGCACCTGTGTTCCTCTCCAGGACTTTTCTTTGTTCTGCCCTGCACTGATAACTTTGTGAAAGTCGATCTGAGAACGGTGTCATTTGACATCCCACCACAAGAGGTAAGTTTGATTTTTTTAATTCATTCATCACGTCATGTGTGATGAATTTGTGTCTCTGTCTGTCATAACTGCTCTTCTTTTTGCCCTTGTTCAGATCTTGACCAAAGACTCAGTGACAGTGTGTGTGGACGGCGTTGTGTACTTCCGAATACACTGCCCAATCTCATCTGTGGCCAATGTGTCCAACGCACACTCGTCCACGCGGCTGCTCGCACAAACCACCCTGAGGAACGTGCTCGGCACCAAAAACCTCGCAGAGCTGTTGGCTGACAGAGAGGGCATCTCTCTCAGCATGCAGGTGAGGAGAAACCAATAATCTATGAGGAGCTGGAGGACGAGTGAGGATGAGAGAATGGTTTTTAAGGAAATAGTTTTGTCAAAATGTATTTTCTTACTTAACAGAAAATCTTGACCCTGCATTCAAACAGGTTCAGTCAGCTTGTGTATCTGTGCAAACACACAGCAGGAGGTTTTAAAGTCCAATATTTACCTGACTGGCCTCCGTACTTTCCCTACAATACTTGTTTGCATTTTGTCCACAAGCAAATATGAGAAGAAGGGGAAATAAATATTTGACAAATCAGCACAAAGACAGACTTGCTGTCCTTGTCATGGTCACGAACACCTGAATAGATAAGAGACAATGAGCTCTGACTGTGCAGTAACGTGCCATTTAAAAGCTGCGTTTAAAAGGTGTTTATTCAGTCACTATAGCTGCAGAAGAACACTGACGTATGATTCTCTTCTAGTTAGGAGTAGTCAAGGCAACCATGTCGACAAATATTAGCTTCTTTACTTTCCTCTTTACTCTAGTTCTTAACCAACTAAATAATAAATTAGGCTATTTTCTTTATCATTTGATCAGTTTTTGGTCTAAACCAACTGATAAAATATTTGGATAAATATAATTTGTTGTTAGCGTGTCCATTGTTTGTTCGGTACCCTGGGTTAAAAACTGTTTCCTGCCATCTGAAACAAACGCAGCACAAAACCAAATTGAGCCCAATAAGCGACTAAAAGGCTCTGCAGGTTTCCTGACTGTATTATTTGCTTTTCTTCATGTCCTCTGCAGGAATCTCTGGATGAAGCCACTGATCCGTGGGGGATTAAGGTGGAGCGAGTGGAGATCAAGGATGTGAAGTTGCCTCAGCAGCTGCAGAGGGCCATGGCTGCAGAGGCCGAGGCCACCCGGGAGGCCAGAGCGAAGGTGAAGAGGGAGCGATGGAAGATTTGAATTTGATTTCCATCTTTGTGCCTTCTAATTGTTAAAAAAATGCAGAGGGTAGAGACGATGCTGGTGCGTCTGTGTTTCAGATCATCGCTGCAGAGGGAGAGATGAAGGCCTCCAGGGCTCTGAAAGAAGCCTCTCTGGTGATCGCCGAGGCTCCGTCTGCTCTCCAGCTGAGATACCTGCAGACGCTCAACACCATCGCAGCAGAGAAGAACTCCACCATCATCTTCCCTCTGCCCATGGATATTATCCAGTGTTTTATGCAGAAGAAGTGATGAGTCCTATAAGAGCTGCATTACTTCTTATATTATGATATTATTAGAGTTAAAATCTCCAGCTCTGTCTCCTAAGAGAACACTGCTGAAGTCTGCACTTCATCATCGTTTCTTATAGATTTTCTTTTTCTATTTTCCTAAGAAATAAAAGAGCTATGTATCATAACTGTGTTTTATATCCACTACAAATCTCACTTTTGCACACTTATTTTCTTATTGTGGTTTAATACTTAAATACAAAGTGCAACATATACAGTGTAGATGTTAGTGTCTCATCACTGACAACAATATTTTTACCATCTAAGCTACAGGTGCAGTTTTGGAGGAGGACGAATAAATAAATAAATAAATAAATAAATACATGGAATGCACAAGAAATGTACAAAAAATAAAATCCAATGAAATGCACAAAAACCTTATAAACACATGCTTTCTTAAAAACTCATTCAGAGCGTGGATTTCTGAAATACTGAATACAATCTTTACAACAGAAGTCCTGTAAACAATCAACAGAAGTACTGACATCCGCATGTAAGTACACAGGATGTAAACTGTAAACAAATCCTCTTGTTTAAGTGTTGAACAAACATTCGGCAAATTAGCACAATGTCATGTCCATAGGACACAGAGGCGAGCAGTGCAATATGAGCACCTGACGGAGAGAAGCATCATTTCCACTTCCTCTCGTAACAAAGCGAAACCCACCAGCGACTTGTCCCGACAGCAAATACAACTCACCTACAACCAAAGTCATATCAGAGCAGATTTTCCTATTTTATAGAATGTATGGGGATCTGATTATTAAGTCATATTATTATCATGTACAGCAATGTTTCTTCAAAGTACTTTTATGCACTATAGTTGTGTAAATCATTATATACATATATTCTTCCACAAACTACAAAACAGGCTGTGAACTGTGTGGTCATGTAAACATGAGCATAAAGAAGAAAAAAAAACTACTACTGTAAAACAAATCAATGTTATGGCAGTTGTTTCCCTTTTGATGATTCATATTTCTCAACACCTGAGATTCTCAACAATGAGAAATGAGGTAACAGCTTGCAGCAAATTGAAGGATTTTTTTTATCCCTCAGAAGTAATTTGCCAAAAATCAAGAGAAGTAACACGTTAGAGCCCGACTGAAATATCGGAAGGCTGATCAAATTCTGCCGATGTGAGCTTTTTACAATAATGATATAAGGATTTATGTTTGCTGAAATAAAAAACTTTATTTTACCGAATAATTATGTGGATTCATCTTATATTTCACATAAAGAAGTTTGTTTAAGGTAAATATTATTTTCAAGTTCAATTTGTGTTTTATTTTTACCAATTTATAATAAAGTTTTTGGTCAAACTGTAAAATAAAAAGTCTCAATAACATTTATTTGTCCTTAGAGTTTGATTACAACATCATAGGAATCATTTCCAATTTAAAAATAAATAAATAAATAAAGACCAATATATCGGTATTGGAAAATGTTTACTCCCTGATATCGATATTGGTCCCCCAACATCCATATCAGTCGGGCTCTGGTGCACATGGAGGATGAACGCCTGGATGTTTTTCACATCACATTTGTTCTCAAGGTTTTTCTGCAGATAAAACACGAGTGAGACCAAAACCAAAAACCAAGAAAAGGAACATTTAAAGAAAGAACAAGAGAACATATGTCATAGTGTTTCAATGCAGCACCATGAACAGATGTGAGAATCACTCGTGTTCAGGAAAATACTTTTCGATTAGAACTGCAATGTCTGCACCATTTAAGGATGATTCTGAAGCCGTTGACTCCAGATAAATAACAGTTACACTTGATGAACTACTGTCTTTGGTGATCTCCACAAATCCTTTAGTTTTCACCCATGTCCATTTATTTGCTTGTTTGTTAACAGGATTACACAAAAACAAAACTACAGAACAGATTTCCACAGAACTTGGTGGAAGGATGAGACATGGGCCCAGAAAGAAGTCCTTCGAATTTGGCTTGGTCGCTGACAAAGGACAGGACTTTTTTTTTCTTCACTTCCTCTATCACTGTGAGATGCAGGATTTTTTTTTTATATTTTCACCAATTTCCAAGATAATAACGAATGGATCTTGATGAAAGAAAGAAATCTGCCTCGTGTTATTTTAAATTCTTCATCTTGTCCTTGCTGCTTCCTGCCATTGCATTATATTTTTGACAGCGGAAATGATGTACTTGTTTAATTGCATATACGGCGGGGAAGTGAGATACAATCTGAGAGGCGACTGTTGGGCTCTAGTTTCATTTGACTTAAACCTGCTCTGTGTTATTAGAGGTAACTAGTCCCACCCCTTCACTCTTCAGCTCCATTTCACACTGATCTGAAAATAAAGAGATCAATACATGTAAATAATTTTAAATAAATTAGAATGAACAACATAGCTAAACTATTTTGGCAGTTCAATGGACTGATGAGTTGTTAAGTTGTCGTACATTTCAGGTCAGCGCTGATATCTGGTCGTTTAAGGAAAACATGGGACGGACGATAGAGGCTGGATGGCTTGATAGACATTCATACAATCCTGATATATGAAAGCTTTCTGCATGAAACATGTCCCACAGAGGAATCCATACTTTGAGAGTGACTTACTGCAGGTAGTTATTTTGTGTGTCGCCTTTGCTGCTGCTGGTGGAAAGAGACTGGACGGCAAAGGCGCTTCTTGTGTTCACTGTTGCACTTTCGACGTTTGCTTTGTGCCGTATATCCATCATCCTGAGCACTGGATGAGAAGGTGGAGATGCAGATGTTGGTGAAAACATGGAAATGAGGCACTGTGAGTCTGTTCCTGCTCTCTGACGTCCGCAATGATCAGATCACCCGCCGCAGTATCGCAGCGCGTTCTGCTTGTGGGAGAATTGTGTCGAATAGAAAAAGAGTAGGGCAGAGAATTCCCTTTTGGACAGCAAGAGGTTGAGCATTGATACAATTATTTAGCCCAAAGATTCAAATTCCTGGGGTTTGTCTGTGGAAATGCATCACCAGGGTGAGAGGCCGTTTCCAAGAAACGTATTTGCGTCTGTCCATCTTCTTTGTTTAATATCCTCCACTAACTGAGAGGAACATTCAGCAAATGTTTGAAGAGTGTCACTGATGGTAGGAGTGTGGGCGGGCAGGGGAGCCCGGTCCAGGGGATGGTCGGTGGATGGGGGAGGAGCTGGGGGACATGCGAGGGCTTAGCTCGCCCGTCTGGAGACGCCACAGCAACTCCTCGTTGGTGCGACTCAGCCGCTTCTTCTCATTGCTCTCCTTCTCCACGTTCACCTGCAGGTTGGCGTTCTCCTCAGAGAGTTGTCTGAGGAAGAAGTGTGTAAAGGTTACAGTGTAAATGCCATGTAAGACATTTCAAGCTGCAAAGTCATAATTATATCCATAAATGTCCCAGAGATATATTTTCCTCACTGCTGAGTTTGCCTGTATACACACTCTTTATACACAGACAATATGACTTCTGATTCTTGACTTTGAGGCTACACTTATACAATATATAAATTATTGTGGAGGTAGCTGGCAGAGCATGTTCACCTGGACCAGATGATCCATCAGCGCAGGTGAGAGCTGTTAGCTGATGGATCCTCTGGTACAAAAGGGAGCTGCCTCAAGGAGACACACAAGGACTGAGAGGGACACATGGAGAGACATGGACACACAGAGACACTGAGCTGCAAAGCGAGGGGCCAGCTGAAATAGCTGGCACTGTAAGTTTAGGTTTTTGTGATTTTATGTTTGTATTAATAAAGTGATGCTGGAAAGCATCTGGTTTGTGTCTGGCTGCTGTGGTGAGAGCCCTGAGGCATAATCATGTCACACTTATATACTCAGAACTAGAAATACTGGCCAGTGCAGTTTCACTCCACATACATTTGAAGAAATTCCCTAAAGAGAGACTTGTGATATCATGTTCAAGAGGCCAAAAACATCTTTGATGGATGAACTCTGACCTTGACCTTTGACCACCAAAGTATAAACAGTTAATTTGTGATTGTAAATGAACATATGTGCCTAATGTGAAAGGATTATCTCACAGCGTTCTCGAGATAACGTGTTCACAAGGCGAAAATAAGTCATTCTTTAGTCCATGTTAGCGATATATCACAGAACATGAGTCGGGAGCATAAAAATCACAAGGTGACAGTGTAAAAAGATTTGCCACCTGAACACTGAGGCATTTATACTGACCTGGACACAACCAGGTTCTTGTCTATTCGCTCCTTCAGGTCTTCGTTCTGCTGCTGCAACACCTGCAGTCTCTCCTCCAGGTATACATTCTTTTCAGCCTGCTCAAAAACACAGGACAGAGGGTGCACAACATTAAATTCTTTAAATGAAAAGAGAAATATGTCAGATGATGTGCCAAGGAGAAGTTTGTCCTGACAGTAATATTTGTTATTTAAGCTGTCCATACCTTACATGTATGGACAATAACTACTGGAATTTGACCAGACAAAAGCAGAAATTTGAAGCCTACTATTTTCTCCAGCTCTGTTATCTTCAGGTCCTGCTGATGAATTTGTTGATTCTTCATCTCCAGAACATCTTTGAGACTCTTAAGGTCCTCCTCTATGTGTTTGTATGGAGCCAGAGCGTCCTGACAAAAGCAGACAACAACAGTGAAGGCGACCATCAGTCTTTAAAACATCAAGAATAACATCAAGATATTGGCCCTGGAATGTATCATGGAGCCGTTACCACTATCTGCTCATCTGTGCTCTTGCGGAGAGCTTCCTCAAATCGCTTGGCTCGGTCCCTGAGGCTACGGTTCTGAAACGTCAGGGTGTCCACCTGATCCTGTTGAACAGACAGTATGCTGCCATCACCAAACATAAAATGTCTCCTGTTAAAACAAATACTTTTTTAAGGAGAGCTGTTGACCTGCAGCGACAGTCTGATCTTCTGAAAATCTTCTTCCAGAGACTTCCTCTGCTGTTCATGGGCCATCTTCAGATCTAACACAAGAAATGACACGTCATCACCTCTCTGAACCTGCAGCACAGTGAGTCAGGACAACAGCAGGTTTCCAGTTTGGTTCTTACTCTTCACAGTCCTGGCATGCTCCTCCTGCAGAGTGGTCAGCGTGTCGTAGTGAGCCGTCTCCATCTCCATCAGGGACGCCTCGTGGTTCTCACTCATCTCCTCAATCTGGGTCAAGATGAAGACGTTTAAAGCAACACTTGGTAGTTTTTTCTACACTCAAATACAACCTGGCGTTCCTGTTGTTGTTGTTGTTATTGGACAAATAAAGCCGAAATTTAGTTTGTCTCATTTGTAGCTTTTCTGCTTAACATTGGGTCGTGTTAGTGAAGTTGTCGACTCACTAGTTTAGCATCAGAAGCCAGGTGAACCCATTTCGAGAGAGGTGAGCCAAACAAATCAGAGTGATTCGATACAGATCGTGCTCGGACTTTGATAACTGCGTCACCCATCTGCTTGCTGTTTGCTTGTTAGCTTGTATGACACTGTTCTACTCTGAGTGCGTGCAGCGAATGTGCAGACATTTACTGTGTGAGTGTGAATGTGTAACTTAAACCACGACACATTTTCAGGACGTAATGTTACAAATGCTATGACAACTCTGCTTCTCGGTCAGTTTGTCAACAAATGCTTGTGTGTTCAGCTTTGTGCAATTTACAACAGTGAATTATGAACCCCACCAGAAGGGGGAACCCGAGTATAGAGCGCTTGAGGTATCGGTATCCCCAACACATAACATGCATTCATGCGATTTGAATGGGACCATAATCTATAAAATGAACATCATGCTGTAATGAAGAAGACTTAAAAACAGCGATTAAAACGCAATCAATGGAGTCGCCCACTGCTGGTCAGAATACAGAATACAGTTCTCAGGCACCTCTGTATTTACACACCTGCTCGTGCTGTTTGACCCGTAGCTCCTCAAGCTCATCCCGCTGTAGGTCCTGCAGACTCTCGGCCTCAGCCATGTGCTGCGCCTTCAGCCGCTCCTCCAGCGCTCTCAGCTCCCTCTGCTGCTGAGCCCGCAATCCCTGCAGCTCAGCCTCAAAGCGACGCTCCAGTTCCTCCTTCTCCCGCTGCAGTTGCTCCCAGTGTGCGACACTGAAAGCTGGAGCACAGAGTGGAGATGGAAATTTTGTTTCACGTGGGTTCAAATTTAGGGTCAAACACGAACCAAAAAAGAAGATGCACCAAGTTAATTTACCAGTTGTTTTATCCGTCCTTTAATTTTTATGATATTGGGAAAAAAACTATTTTTGCAGATGTTTTTTTGTAAAATTTGAAATAAAGCAACTGAGCATCATTAGGACATGGTGTTTTTCTTTGAGACTAAATCCAGCAGCAGAGTGGATTCGCTCGGGGTCACTTATGGCAGTGTAGTGTATAATACATAACATATTGTGAGCTGGGAGTGACTCACCGCCTATTCTCCCCACAATGTTCCCCACTTACCCACTTCATCCCTGATTCTGGCAAGCTCCTGGGACAGTTCCCTCTCCGTCACAACGGCACGTTCACTCTGAAATGGTAAACACATAAAAACTGTGAACACCTCTGGAGCATGAGGACGGATTTCTTACACTTACAGTACAACAGTGAACTTTGTAAGTGGAAATAAGAATTATAATATAATAAATAATAATAATTTTATAATAATGAATAATGAATTTAAGCTACACAGGAATAGATAATAGTCTTAGCGCTGCCTATACTGGTAACAGGAAGTAAGCCTCGTACGACCACTGTCATTTATCATGCATGATTAGTGGGCGTGGTCTAGCGCTGCATGAGGGACAAAGGAAGTGACTCGTCTGTCCTTCCTGCAGTGCCCAAAACACACGCAAAAATGGTCAGTCCTGCTAGCAGCCCTAGATTATAGTTTAGTTTGGTCTTCAACTCTGTAGGAGCCCTCCATATTGTCAGATTTTGAATGCTTTGGATTTTGCCTTAAAACACCAAATTTATTGATTTCATCTCATTTTATTTATTTGATAGGGACAGAGCATGTTAATGAACATCAGTATAAAAACATTACATGTAAGAATGCCAGAAATGTCAGCATAAATGCTAATTTACATTTGTTGTCCCTGAAGTAATGTTGCCAATATGTTTTGTATCACAACATTGTCTATATGACCAGAAAGTTATATTTTTTTTACTTGACATAGTATTTATCAATATATTAGATCAGAATACCCACAAATATACTCCAGAGGGTTAATCATTGCCATACATATTACTTTAATCTTGTTGTTTTATTAACATTTGTCAACTTCTGTGCATTGCCTCTTGTTACAGGTATCATTCATATTAATTAAGAATACATCTCTCTGAGTTCAAACCTAGAAACTGACATCCTAAGTCACCGTAGGTGAGAGGTTTGGAGCCCCAAAATGTTTCCGGGTACAGTGGATGAGAGGATTATAGAGCAAAATCACATTCCTGCTTCATTAAAATGTATTTTATTCGCAGCTTCCTCCACCGAAATGTTGTTCCACCACATGCAGCATGTAAATACTGTTATATAAAGCAGCCTGCCAATCTGGTCATGTCTATAAAAGGCTAATTTACGACCTGTTTCCACTAGCCTGACAGTGTAATCAGCAGTTACCACTAACCAAACTGTCCCTCTCTCAAACCAGCACTTTCAATAATCTATTCTCGCTGTCTCTCCTCCGAGATGCATCGACGCGTGATTGGCTGAGGCCACGGCTCACTGATAAACAAGACGCTGGACTAAAGGTCAAAGGTCACAGTACTGGTCTCAATACAATGGGCGCAGAATAGATGTGGCAGCAACATAATAATAGAAAACACCCCGCCACTTTCTACGTCACATCAGTGTAAAATTTTAATGTGGATCGTAAAAGCCAAGGGTCTTAATAGCTCCAGGGTGAAAGGCTTTACAGCACCACAGAGGAGTCAACGACATTTAAAAATGTACATCCACTTCGATTTAGTCTTCACACTGAGCCTGACGGAGTCTCCAGCATCTTCATGATGTGACATTCTCAGAGCTAGGCTCACTCACAGAGGCAGACACATCAGTCTGTTAAGTGACTATTGATCACTGCTTTAAACACGCAGCAAGATGGCCACGAACGCCGTGGCGAGGACATGAGGCACAAATCACCAAGCTGCGTTCACGAGGAAACGGTGAAGGGAGAAGAGAGACAGAGGGGAGCAGGTGAAATATGCATGAGACAGTATGCAGTTACAGTATGTCTCTGCAGCAAGTGATGTCATCTTCTAAGAGGTTTTACTTGGTGCACGCAGTCATCAGGGGAGAGACGCCGGTGACCTCATTAGGGATGAAGGATGGTCAGCTGCTTTTTTTTCATTTCACTCCTCACTCTCCTGAGCTCCACCTCTGTTCCCACCCATCATTCCCCTGACTCTGATCCCCAAGGAGTCGTGAGTGTGACATGCATTCTGATTTCACTATTCAGCCCGGCACCCAGGCAACATCATCCATCTCCAACGACTGATTCCATCATTGATTTCACTGTTGATTATATTTGTTGTCTGAGTTTGCAGCATGAGAAAAGAAAAACCTAATGATGTTCAATTAGCATAGAAGTAAAAAGGTAGAGGAACATATCTCAATTCAATCAAGCGGCACCAAATTGCACCCACTCATAGAAATCTTGATTGTTTTCATCAAAATCCATTAATTATTCCCTGGAATAAGACAGAAGATGTAAAAATAAATGCCCCATCTTGCAATGTTAAAGATATGGATAAAAAAATATCTTATCTGGATCTGCACCAAAACGAATAAGTTCTTCCCTGACTCACACCGAATCCTTCCACCAAGTAATCCATTCAAAGGTTTTTACATAATCAGGGGTGAAAACATAACCTCCTTGATGTGGATAATCCTCACGTTTAAGAGGCTGGAAGCAGCTAAATAACAAACAATTACTGGATTATAAAATACTTATATCTCTTTATAACTACTGACTAATCACTTCAGCGCTGCAGCATTTACATACCTTTTTATAGTAAGGTTGCTCAAAAACTGTAACGACTTCATCAACTGGTCTAAAGTCTGCACCCACGTAAACAGTCCAGTTTCAGTGGGACCGTAACATCCCTCCAATGTGCCGTCGCTGTTTTTGTTTTCATCCTGAGGAGAACCCAGTGAACGCACAGGAAGCTGCAGCTGTACAGCCCGAATGCTGCACAGGAAAACTGAACACGTGATTTCTGGTAGCTTAGAAATCCAGTTACATCGAGGATGAGTTTCTCCTGTATGATCAATAAAATGCAATCATGCAATCGAGAGTACAGGAATACAGCAGCATGTTATGTAATGTCCCTGCAAACTGGCAGAGAAAAGAAAGAGGGACAGTGCGACTGAAAACCTGCTTTGACTCAGCACAATCCTGCACACATTCATCCCCTGCACCGGCTCCAACATAGCACATACATGAACACAGACAGTTAGCCCCCCCTCCCTCCCCATGCCAACAAACACACATACTTAAAGGAATCCTCTGTGCCGCCTGCAGAATATTCTGCCTTTTACCGTTTGGTCCAGACAGCGCAGAGGGAGGAGATGGAGCCTACAGCAGCAATGGCCCATACTAGGCAAGGAGACAGCAGCATCCCTGAGCCGGCTGAATGCACGGGGGAGGCAGCAATGACAGATGCAGGAGCCGGAGAGAAATACAGAGCGAGAGAAAGAGAGAGGGGGGAGGGCACCAGGCGAGGGGAAGGAGAAGGGAGGAGAGAAGGGAAGACTGAAGCCTCACCTTGTTTCCTGGTTTGCGTTTATCCCTGCTAGAACAAAGACTGCCAGCCCCAGCCCAGCTCTGCCTGCCCACCCCTGAAACCCCCGCCCTGTATTATACTCACACCCAGGGAGCAACACACACACACACACACACACACACACACGGACACATGCATGTGAATGTGTGCTCTGTTGCATCTTTGAGAGAAAAAACTGAAAGAGTGAAGCAGAAGAAGATGGGGGAGGGAGATTATCAATAAGTGGCCAATTATCAGCTCTGATACTGAGCTCAGGGAAAATAGCTGCATGCACCAGATGTTTCAGAACATAAGCTTAATTAATAGAAGACAACAAATCCTGGAAGGATCTTTCTAAAGGAATAACGTCTCAATTGTAGCATTGGATGTTCTTGCAAAAAGTCTCATGCAAGAAACTCAGCTTTCTCTGTTTCTGTAAATAGTTTAATGAACCAGACATCTCAGTACAAACAGTAGCAAACCCACATATGCTTCAGGGAAAATGATCCGACTGAAGGAATAACGTCTTGATTTCAGCAATGGATGTAAAGCTTATTGCCAAAAATGGTAGCTGCTCAATAGAACAATTAATATATAAAACAAAACTGGCTCAGGCAAAAGAAAACTTCTATGATTTAGTATTTCTTCAGTCAGAATCATACACGTATCTAAAATCTCATCAGCATATGTTCTCACTGCTTGTAACACATATTAGAGATATATATCATATCTTGTACTATGATGAAATATTTATTTCATCAAAAATGGACATTATAATAGAACAAATATTTAAGGCTGGTTATCAAACTCAATGTCAATTTACTTTAAGGCTCAGTGTGTAAGATTTACGTGAAAGGGATCTATTGGCAGAAATTGAATATGAATTAATCCTAGCAATGTTCTCACTAGTGTGTTTTATCTAAATTGTACAAGTTGTAGTTTCTTTACCCTAGAATTGCCCCTTTATATTTAAATACTTTATATTTACACCGGGAGGGGGTCCTCTCTATGGAGGCCACCATGTTTTCTACAGTCGACCAGACTGGACAAACTAATCACCTTTTGAGTTTTCATTCGTTTTTTTTATGTTTGGAAGGGGGGGAGTAAGGTGGGAGGTATTCAGCTGCAACATGCAAATTCACCACTAAATTCGACACAGTGAACCTTTAATAATCATGTAACTATTGCTATATATTCAATAGAACTGATTGAAAACCTTCCGCCCATCGGACCTTTAGTGGATGTTCTATGTTCGATCACTAAAAGCAGGGCCAGGCTCAGACAGGCCGCTCTAATCTGATTAATCATCTCCCACTGGAGAGCAGAAGACGTGGGTGTGGCCGGGAAAAGAGATGAAATGGCAGCGGAGGAGCAGAAGAGGAGGAGAAATAAAACCTCAATCCGCTTCTGAGAACACTCTCAGTCACGTTTCACAATCCAGCTCAATCACACATCCGTCCATATGCTGTGCACTTTAAAGTAGAAAAGGCCAAACTACAGCACACTAACAACCAGAAAAGCCTTTGAAAATCTCTGACAAAACCTGCTGCTTCACACTTATTTCCAACGTATTCAAAGAGGAACAAAGTCAGGTTTTTGAGCCTTTGTAGAAAAACTAAAGCTGACAACAGAAGCTGGATGCTACAGGCGTCACTTGTGCTTGTGAAGACATCACACTTTGTGGTTGAATTCTAGAGCCAGCCACAGTTGTTCCTCTGTTTTCAAAGCAGGAAATGTATTTTATCAAGCTGCAAAATGAATTAACAGTCAGCTTGCAGAGATGAGAATCTTGTTTGATACAGACTTTATCAAAAACAAAGAATATTACATTCAATATGTCAAGTTATGTTGTTAATAATGTTTTTACGACGGAAAATTCATCCCTGAAACATGTTTATCATTTTTTATCCTTATTTTTTACACCTTGGTTTCAGCTGTAAAATACTGTATTGTACATATTTTATATAGTGTAATGCACAATGTATGCACTATACATACTTCACATGCTTCTTATTCATATTTTATATTAATCTTATTTAGGTGTGCACATATTTCTAAACTTGGTGAGAGCAACTGTAATGAAAACCCAATTTTCCTGTGGATCAATAAGTTTTTCTGATGCTGATTCTGAAAAGTTCAAATTCACAACATGCACAAGCTAATTTGTAGTGAAATTAAAGACAGTTGTAGAGTATCATATTCCTTTCTGATGATTTAGCCTACGACTGCTAAGATGAAAACACTAAGGACTTTAAAAAGTGCTTGCTTGTTAAGGTCCCAGTCTCCTGCAGTGTCCTACCTTTTGACAGAAGTGCTGGGTAGTGATGCTGAAAACGTCCAGGCACAGGGAGGCCTTCTTTAACTGGGCCTGGAGGCTCAGCAGCTGCAGGGCCTGCTGCTCGCAGCGCTCCCGCAGCTGCTGGATCAGAGCCCGGTCCAACTCCTGGGCCCTGTCGGCCCGAACTGAACCATGGACCGCCGCCGTCTGCCCACGAGCTGAGGAAACAGAGCAGAGGGATCAATAAAATATACTTCAATATTTACATGAATATGAGACTTTAAGAAACGTTTTTAAATAAATAAACTCCCATAAACAAGTGGACCATTTGTTTGAACCTTATTGTGTACATATGATTTGACAAAACATTTATAAAAACTGTGAAGACTTTAAAATGTGTAGACAACAAACACACCAAGCAACAATCATTTTAATAATTTGTAAATTGATGATGTAATTTTTCAAACAAAATTTCAAAAAGTCCAGCTCCTGAAATACCACGACACCCGGCTCTTGAACTGTTAATTTAATATATTTTGTTTTCCACTGTTGTTGAGGCAAAACGACAATTAGAACACATCATCTCATTGCACACACACACACACACACACACACACACACACACACACACACACACACAGCAATTAATTACTGATTGCCTGGTTGGTTATTGTTTACATCAATCTGTTGTAATTTCCTCTCTCGTTTGAAAAACACTCCTTTTTTCTTGTTGTTCTTTCGTTCGGCTGCTGAGAAACATAAAATGCTGACTTGTGTTGTGGTTATCTGACCCAGCTGGATTCCCACTGAGGGAGCCACGCTGGCATTACAGCTACTGTAGCCTGTTGCTATGGCAACAGCAGGCTGGCCTTGTAGTAAAGTGCCGAGCGAGAGCGACAGTAAATTTTAAAGATGCAGTGGCAGCTGAAGGTGTTACACTATTGACTATGCTATGACACACGCGCACGCGCACACAGACACACACACACACACACACACACACACACACACACACACACACACAAACAAACACACACAAAGAGCAGTTTAATGTTGTGTCAGACTCACCAGGTGACTGAGGTTTGGGTGAAACCACTGCAAATCTTTTAGGGGACGACTTCGGTTGCAATACAGCATCCTTCGGGATCTCTCTCCTAGAGGCTGTGGCGTAAAGAAAAAATTATAATTCAAATATTGAAATCTAAGAAATATTAGTTTTTTCGCATTTGTCGAGTATTGTTTTCGTATTATTCAAAATCAAATTCAAATTATCCGTGCAGAGGTTAAGAGCACTTTAACATCACTACTGTATGTATTACACTTAATAGTTTATTTTCAAACTGAGATTTTACATATAACATACATGCACTTATACATTATTAGTCCTATTTCTATGGTTTAAAGGTACAGTGTGTAGAATTTTGTGATATCTAGTGTTGAAGTTGCATGTTGCAGCTGAACACCCCTCACCTCACCCTCTCCTTCCAAACATGAAAAAGAACCTGTGGTAGCTTCAGTTGTCATAAAACTCAAAAGGTGTTTAGTTTGTCCAGTCTGGACTAATGTGAAAAACAGGGCGGCCTCCGTAGAGAGGGTCCCCTCCATGTAAATATAAAGTATTTAAATATAAAGGGCCTTTTCTGGGGTAAAGAAAACTACAGTTCATACAATTTAGATGAAACAAACTAGTGAAAACATCATGAGGATTATTCTACATTAAATTTCTGCCAATAGATCCCTTTCACCTAAATCTTACACACTGGACCTTTAAACAATGATATGTACAAAAATAATTTCTAAAATTTGATCAGCCTCAGTATTAAAACTCAAGAATGCATCAGTATTGATGATAAAATATAAAATAACAATAAAATAAGCATATGTTTAATAAATTTGATTCCTCTGTAGATTTATAACGACTGTGTTTTTTCAAACTTGGATTTTCAAGAGGGAAATAATCTTGTGGATTCTAAAACATCTGAAAATGAAAAATATTGGTACAGAGTTGTTTAGTGGCCTCCAGGTGGCGTCACTGCTCTGTTGCAGGAAGCTGAGGCTGAAACAGCCCCCCCCACACACACACAGGAATCCCCCCTGTAACCATTAGATGGTGTTGATTTTCCACATTGAAGCAAAAACGCCAAAACAGGAAACAAGGTGCAACCAACAAAGCAGAGAGGGGGAATGTAATATATATATCACAGGGAACAGAATCTCAGATATGATGCAACACTGAGCAACAGCTAAGATGCTGATTCTTCTTCAGGTCAATTATTTATCTCTCTGAAATGAATGTTAAGTAGTTCAGGGGTTCTGGGACCTGGGCAGTAGATGTGTGATCATACGTCTCTGCTTGCACCACATGTAGATACTTGAACTGTCTTTTAATAACAAGGGGGGATGAGTGGCGGCTTGCGTGTCTGTTATTTTGTCAGGTGAGGGTAGTGAAGTGTGTTATTTTCTTTTCTGTCTGCTGCCTGTTGTGAGTCAGAAAGAATTCAGTGGGATCGTGAAGTAGATTTCCTTTTGTTTGTTTTTAATGTTTCACACCACCCGGAGCTCGTCTCTTTGTTTGTCACCTCGTCTGACGTCTTTCCTGTCGTGTTTAACTTTTGAAAGCTTCATTTTTTCGTTAAAACAGAAAAAACCATGTGGTTGATGATTCCTGTTCAGTCAGTTCCTCAAGTTAAATGAAGACTTTACATATATAAACACATTTTACATAAGTACCTGCCGGGAGTTTCCTAACAAGAAATAATTATTCAATTCATAAAAAGCATTTACTTGTGATTTACTTTGAGCAATTTTATATCTGAAATGAGACTTTTTCTCTGAGAACAATATGCATCATATTTCATTTATATGTTTTATATTCTGAGTTCTCCTTTATGAAACACTGAGGTGAGGAATGTCAACCAAACCATTTAAACAAACTAAACATATTGAAGCCACGGTCTTTGTCTTATGTGACACCGTGGCTTTTAAAAGATATATAAATCCAATAATTCATCTATTTCTGCGTCTAATTCTGAACCATGTAGTACAATCTCGTTTCTGGAAACACAGAGTAAACCAGCCTGTGTGACTGAGCTACTGACCAACTGTCTTTGTGTTTCATTATGCAACTCAGTGATGATATCAGTGAGCAGAGAAAGGTCCTGCAGAGGAATGAAAAAATGTGAGTTGTTGCGTTGGTGCCGACGCCTCCGAGCCTCTCAGCCCACGCTCACACATTCCATCTCGGTGTCATTTGATCACCAGGAACAACGACCGTGACCACGTGGGAGCAGCTTCAGCCTAAGTGTGTGATTTCTGCAGATACACACCCAACACCACATGCACACAGAAACTCAGCTTGTCACCACCGGCCATGTGTCGGGGGGGGGACGTACCCACTGGTGAGGAGCGCTGCGGGGGCAGAGTGCGGCGCTGGAGGCTGGGGGCGTTGGGAGGATGAGGTCGGCTCGGACCGTGTGAAGCTTCACCGGGGGTTTGTTTGTGTGACAGGGTTTCATCGCTGCCACTGGTGTGATCTGCAGAACAGGAGAAAATGTCCAAATGTAGATTTTCTCTTTGTTTTAATCATTCCCATTTTAATTTAAATGAAGTTATTGGGCAACACTGAGCTGCACAAACTTTCCCAAACTGCATGAATCATATTAAAGAGACAAATTATATAGTTCAAGCAGACCTGAGTAAATTTGCCTTTTGCCTTCATGCAGCCAAGACATTTTAAACTAAGAATCATTACCCTCTCTTAGAATGTTTAAAAAGCAGTTTTATATATTATTGCACTTAAACATGTGCTTTTTAATTTCCATCTGGCATTTTTTCCATTGATTCAAAGTTTGTTTCTGTGTCTGTTCTGTGCTTTAGTCTATTTGCTGCATTTTAGTATTTATCTTGTCTTTTATTTCTGTCCCTGCTTGTAATTATATGTGAAATGTTTTCATTTGATTTGCTTATTCTTAGCCAAGACATTTTTTACATTGGGCTTGTTTCATATGATTGAAGATCAAATTTTGGAGGGTGGTAATGCTATAGCTTTAATTTGTTAATCTAATTTAACTTATTATTTGTACATTTATCAGTAAAGAAATGTATCAATGAAAACAACATGCTGTGAGTTATTTTCACTACGAAAAGTTAGACAGCATCATTTGTTGAGAGCTGTAGATCTACTCTCACTGACCTACAGGATATAGGATTATAGGGTCCTTTACAGGTCAGTGATATTTATTTACCATCTTGCTTTCCTTTTTTATCTTTAGAATGAAGTATCAGCAGACCACAATCTTTCTATTTTTCCCTGGAGAGTATTTTTTTCTCTAAACTGCAGAAATGCACAGGGAGAGAAGAAAGCGAGTTGTGGCAAACATCTTAATTATTCATAACAGCTGTTATTACGCCTCAAGCTTTCTGTGAATAGAAAAGGCTTTGATTCATGGATGAACTAAAACAAGTAGTCAAACATCAAAACACAGTGAACTGGATCTTTGTGTTTGTGATGCATCGTTTTCTTTCATAGAATGTCATCATTACCTGTCTCTAGGACTCCAGTATAAAGACAATTCAGCATTTCGGTTTACTTTGTCAGCCTGATGAGTAGAAATGTAAACTGGACATCTGTAATTACTCTTCATTAAATATTCAGCTGCTCAATCAATTGCTGCGCTGCAGTGACAGGAAACTCAACATGCTCTAAGAGGAAAGAACAACAGTTTGTGTATTTAAATAAACTCATCTGAAAATTGTTCAAAAGGGCTGAAAACAGGATGAAAAAAAAAGGTGTTGTATGAAAACATAAGACGTGGTATCAAATTTGAACAGCGACACAACCGAAAGGACTAGATAGCATTAAAAATGCAGATTAGATGCCTAAATGCCCATAGGGCCTGAGTGGATGCTGCAGTGGGATCACAGTAACTCTCTCCTCACACTATGAATTCACCTGGGAGAGTCAGTTTACAGAGATCAACGCTGAGCAAAGATGCTGATTGGCTGCAGGAAAGGACCGGAGGCTGACTCACTGCTTGTTTCTATCCTGCATGTTCAGTGCAAATGAATCCCCTGCTCTAAGAATCCTGTGCTCAGTGTTAACACCAGTGAGAAACAACAAGGCCGAAACTCCGCTGGTGACTAATTCACAAGAAGTGAATGGACACATTGTGTTGTAAGATGTTTCCTCATTAAACAGTCTGAATGTTCTCATATCTTCTATTTTCAAATTCCTCTTTGACTTCATTTGAATTTGCATTTTGAAATTTTACGTCAGAATGTCCTGATATTGTCAGAGTCAGACTCTGAGGTGGTGAACTATCGTTGTGAAGTGAAATTAGTCTGGAAATTTTCAATATAAATCTGAATCTAGAGGGAAAACAGTAAAAAAAAAAGGGGGTATTTCAAGGGCTTTTACTTTGAAATTCTACATCAGATAGCCATGATATTGTCAGAGTGAGACTCTAAGGTGGTATTTTTTTTAAATAATATTTGATATGAGCAGGTTATGAGTGTGAAAATGGAAACTAAATGGAACTAAATTTGCCTTTAATTTTATTTTTAATTTTATTATTTAACAGAATCTTTTTCTGACATGCAGACAGTGGGGGTCACAATGAAAAACAGTGAGATGAAATATCTGTGTCACCTCTCACGGATTTTAAAAAAACTACTTATTATGAGCAGGTCATGACAGCCATAATAAAAAAGTAGCCAAATTTGTCTTTAATTTTCTTAAAAATTCGACAGTAAAATCAGAGTTTCTCTTCAAGATGGACTGAAAGAAAAAATAAATAAATAAATGGCCCTTTCAGTCACCAGAGACGTCTCAGTCACTTTGAAGACTTTTCTTCCTGCAGGGATGAGACCGATCCACAGGAAAAGAGGCTTAATATTTAGAACACGCCACAGAGAGAGTTGAGCTGCTTCAACGACCGTGAAGTCTCCCTTGGAACTAGTACTTTTTAATATGTATTAAAAATTAATACATATTTGTGTGTTTTTTTTCTGGGCCCAGGTCACATCCCTTGACCAAGTTTCATGGAAATCCGGCAAAGGTAATAAATCGTGTATTTCAAATGGAAAACACACTGAAGCTCCAAACACAACAAATTCACTGTAATGCTTCAATCTTATGGACAAACTTCTCCACAGAACAACAGACACACGAGCATAATGTCTGCTCCCACTGAGTTAACTGGGCAGATAAATCCCATATGTCACATTTAACTGGAGCGCACCACCAGTACATGTGGTTGCAGCCGAGACTTACGTCTGCATACCAAGAGAGCGACGCTGCCTGAGCCCAGAGCCTGAAGGGAAACACTGCCATGTCATGGATATACTGAGTGTTAGTCACCCATCTATTCAACCTCAGCATCAGCAGGACACAGAATATATGCAACTGGCTTATAAATTCAACAACAGCTCCACAGAGAAGCAAGAAAATCGATGACAGACAGACACTTACATGACGGCAGGTTATCATCTTGAGCTGCGCTTGTTTTCTGAAGAATCAGAGTTAAAAATGGCACAAAATAACCCAGAAACGTGAACATCTGAGCCTTTCAGGAGGGGACGCTGCAGCGGAGAGAGAGAGACACCATTATCTGCCCTGACTGAAAGTTCGAAGAGGAGATTCAGAGGCAAGAAACAGGCGAGTGAAAACAGCTGGTGTAAAAACAGCTGCACACACCACACACCACACCCGACTCTCTGTTTTCAGCACCACTTTTTCATTTTGTGGATTATAAATAGGGAAGAGGAGACTGTCACAGACGTGTGAAGGACACTGCATGAGACAGCTGCTGTTTCATTCTTTTTTCTTTTTCCAGTCTGAGGAGCCTGTCTGCACCAGCAGCTCGAAGAATTTCCCAGCAGGTTGGAGAGTAAAAGAGTAAAAGTAGGGAGAGGCAGCAGTCAGCTGTCCATGAGTGGAACAAATGTGGGGACACTTGAGCAGAGGAGGACGGCACTGACCCATCATCATGTCCTCCAATCAGGGCGGTCAGAGGAGACTCTTCTGCTTGTGCACAGGAATAATTAATGAATAGAGAGCTGATTTAGATGTTTTGGTTATTTGGACTTGTCTATTTCAGGGGTTTGAAGGTTTTGTGCCAAATTTGAAAGGATTCTCTCAAGGAGTTAGAGATGACGCATTCATGAGGAAAAGTGTTTTGTGAGGTCAACCTCTAAATTCTAATCAGGTCATTTTGGAGTCAAAGTTTGTGCCGGATGTGGTGAAATTCCATATGGGTGTTCCTCATATATCATGTTCACAAGAACATGTGGTCCCTGTGACCTTGACCTTTGACCTTCACCCACCAAGTCTGCACCAAATATGAGGAAATTCTCTCAATGTGCACCTGAGATCTTGCATTCAGAAGACCAAAAAATTGTTTTTTAACATCACCAATGATCTTGACCTATGATATCTGACCACCAAATTCAAATCAGTTCATCCATCAGTCCAAGTTAATGTTTGTACCAAATTTCAAATAATTCCCCGGAGGTGTTCCTGAGATATTGCGTTCACAATGCAAAGTGACCTTGACCGTTGACCTCCAACCACCAAAATGTAATCCGTTAATCCTTGAGTCTGACATAAAGTCTGCACAAAATGTTAACAAATTCCCTCCAGGTTGAGATGTTCACAAGAATGAGACAGGCTGAAAACCTAATGTCTGAGGCCTCTCACTGTCGCTGGCGCAGAGAAATAAAAATTCAAAATGGAAAAACAGGATTTTCTGTTAAAGTCTGTCTCAGCATATTCAGACTGTTTGGTCCGAGTCAGCACTCTGAACAAATGAATCTGCTGCAGCTCCATGTTGCAACACAAACGCTGCTTGGGCCGAACTCAGTGATTGAATAGAAAATAAGTGGCAACTGACAACGTCTTATCTTGTTACGACACATTTCCAACGTCGTCTTCACACACAGACATAAGCAGCTCGTCTACTGTGCTGTCATCGACTCCTCTGAGTGGAGCCTGCAGGAAGTTGATGAGAGGGGGTGTCACGCTGAGCGCCAGAGAAAATGCTGCAGTTTGCAGACTCAGGAGAGACAGCAGAGCGAGAGAGAGAGAGAGAGAGAGAGGGAGGAGAGAGACTTTCACATTTCTTCCAAAAAGCCTCTGTGGTGCAGCAACTTTCAGCGCCTGCTCGATGAATTAATAAAAAAAACTGAAAAGAAACGAGTGGCTGTTACTATAGTAACTGAGGAGAGCAGCGGCAGCCAGAACTGCTGGTGAACTAACAAGGACGAGAAGATGTGATAAAACAAAAGAGTGAAATATCCTTTTAATCACACTGATCACTCTCTGATGTCTATTTTTATCTCAGGCAGGGTTTTTTAGCCGGTCACACTTTAAGCTGAGGTGGTGGTGACCACGTAACACAGATTCATGCGAAATGTGTGGAGAGAGGATGGCTCACGCTGGGAGGGTCGACAGGGATCGCTGTCACTGGACTGGTTGCTGGATGCAGACGAGACACTGGAGCTGTGGACGAAGCCGAAGGAGGCCAGGCGGGCAGCTGGCAGGGCGGAGAAACCGGGAGGACGGAGACCAGACTGTCCTGGTTTGAGCAGGACACTCTTAGGGGTTGGTTCTGAGCTCTTGTGATCTCCTGGAGGAACATGGGAAAATACAAAATATGAATGGGTGAATATCCAAGACTCACTGAGACAGCTTCTGTTTTGGCACATTTACATAAAAAGTACTTTTACTCTGACATAAATGGTTTTGAAAAGAAATACGCAGACGATATATTTCCATTACAAGACTGATGCTGGGATCTGCAGTCACAGTCTGAGTCGCATCTGCTCTGATGAATGAAAAAAGGCTTTATGTCACTTTCACTAATCTCACTAATCTCTAATCTCCCTATTACCGATAACTAACCTCTGTCAACCTTCATTCTGCGATGAAATTGGACGTAGATACAGTAAGACGGCACCATACTGTAATACAGAAGCAGGTTAGATGATGATTTGGAATGTGAGCGTGAAGAAATATGCAGTGCAAGTTGCTGCTTTGCACTTCAAAGAGCTTAGGTGCCATGGCGAATAAAAAATTGAGGTAAAATCGATTTCTCTGCATCAGCAACCTGAGGATGGGATGTGCACAGAACGATGCAGACAGAGGAGAAATCTCTGTCGCACTCTTTTCTAAATGATTCAAAACCATCATTGGTTTAGCAAAGCATATAAATAAGAAGCATGTATATATATATATGCTCTTTGGATGTTATTTATATATATATATATATATATATATATATATATATATATATATATATATATATATATGCTCTTTGGGTGTTATATATATATAAGATCACAAAACCATTTTCCTCCTCTAATGAACTCAAATCACAGAGTGTGTTCACCGATAGTTTAAATTACAGTAAATCTAACCATCTCACCTGCAGAGTCCTGGGTGGGTGCTGACCTTTGACCTGTTTGCTGAGCTCTTGTCTTGGCTGCAGGCTGCCTGTTGACCGCCCCTAACCCCAGCTGAGGCCTCAGGGCTCGGGGTGACCGGTACACACTGCCGCCCTCGTGAGAAACCTGCTGGTGAGGGACAGAGTCGATAAACTCACTGTCACAACAATAATGTGAAATAATATAGTTTTGCTATAAAATACTAAGATAAACTGGTCAAATCACTTTCATACATGTAGTCTCCTCTTACTACTAGAGCCCAAACATTGTAGATCTTCAGAGGCTGATGCCAGTACACATATAAGTTAAAACAATTCTGATACAGACATATTGGCCAATGTATATATTTATGATGTTATCAAACCCAAAGAAATTGTTTAACCATAAACTTTACTGTAAATAATCAGCGAATATAAACTCATACGCTCATATGAGGCGTTTTTTATCGGCCAACCAATGAATCGGTGGTGCTCTCTCTAAAACTGAGCAAAATGTAAAACCAGGTTTATGCTTCTTCCAAAGTTTGAATAACACATAAGTGAAGACAAGTAAATTCAAACGTTGAGATTATTCCAAACCAACTTAAGCCACCAGCATTTAAAGTTACCGTCCTTGTGTGGCTTCAACCATCAATGACATCTGATTGTGTCATGTGAATATGTCAAATCAAAGGTCTCACCTCTTGGAGACATTTCTCTGGCACTTCCTCGTGAAAGCTGCTCGACTTCCCGCTCAACCTCGGGGGGTTGGTGCTGCTCGGAGGCTTCGTCCCAGTCACAGCCATGCCTGGAGGATAAAGCCCCGCCTTCTGCATCTCCTGGCGATACTTGTCAAACAGCAGGTTGGAGGAACACAGCACCGGTGTGGATTTAGGTTGAGGAGTAACCTTCGGAGCTTTATGAGCCGGTGGACTGGAGAAGGAGGATCTTAGTGGGTGTGTAGAAGCTTCATTTGGGGGAACTATGACTTGGGGTTTTGTTTGAAGGTTTGCCCGAACATAGGTGATGATTTTTGGTCGCACGTTTTTAGGTTTCTGGGGAGAAGAAGACCTCCTTGGTTCCGGTTCTTTGTGCTGAGGAGGGATGACAGGTTTGGGGATGCCACTGCTCATCTTTCCTGTCGGCTTGACCGTTTGACCTAAACCTCTCTGTGGGGAGTCGCTGCGCTCCGAGCTCAGCGCCCTGATGCCCTGGACCTTGGCTGGAGAACCAGGCAGTCGTCTCTTGGGCGAACACGAGGTGGTTTTCGAGGACGGGGGAGTTGCGGCTCGACTGGGGCTTCCCCATGGCTTCCTCCGCTCCAGACTTGAGGAGCTGGTGGTGACGGTGTTCTCAAAAGAGGCCTGCTTCTTTAAAGTGTTCTCAAACGACGGCTGCTTTTTGAAACTCCTGTCGAAAGAGTTTTGTTTTTTCAATGTGTTATCAAACGATCCTTGTTTCTTTATGGCTTTGGAATGAATTGGTGATGGATTCTCCTTTGTACCTGCTCTGGATGGGATATAATTCACATCAGGGGCCTCGTCAGCTTGTGTGCTTTTATCCATTTTTGTGTTGCTTTCTTCATGTGAGTCTTTTATAGTGGGCAAAGCCTTGTGCTTACTTCTCCCTTGATCACAATCTTCCTCTGTTATATTTCTCTGGTTATTGTTCCTCCTGTGCTCATCAATAGCGTCTCCGCACGCAACAGTTCCATTTCTCCCTTTTGCCTTCAAAGCAATGTCCTCCGAGTGAGGCATTGAATTCAAATTGATGTCCACGTCTTTCTGGTGTGTTGTGCTTTTTCTGGGGGAGAGGGTAGGGTGGTCAGCCTTGCCTCGCTCAGAGAGAGTGATGCAAGCCTGGGAAGTCAGGTCCTCTGAGGTGGTCGAGTAAGGACCAGCGGCAACGTGCCAGGAGTCTGTCGTCTGGGACCTGCCGACAGGGTCCAAAGCAGTGGCCACGCTGGAAATGGTGGACTGACAGGACATGAAGACGTCAGTTTCCGAGCTCAACTCAGTCCTGGAGGCCTCTCTGCTCTCGGACACATGAGATGCAGTGGATTCCTGCTCGCTGGCGGAACGCAGAAAGGACTTCCTCTCTTCCCTGACCTTATTATCCGCTGCTACTTCTGCCGTGGCTTTGCTGCACGATGACGACTGCTCCGGAAGCGTCTTCCGCTCTGCAAGCCCGACAAAGTCCTCCTCCTCCTCAACCAGGTAGGCCTCCAGCTCCTGACACTCCAGCATCTCAAACTCAGCAAGGTCGGGGTCTTCACACTGGGAGTCGGTGCCCCAGATGACGACTTTGTCTTGCTGTGCTTTTCCACTCACCAGCCCCGACACAGTGCCGGTATCGTCGCCCATCCTCCCGCCATCCTCTGCCCTGATGTCATTAGCGTTGGCATCACCATCGGCCACCACGCCCCCCCGCTGGTTGTTGTTCCTCAGCTCCCCCCCGCAGAAGGGCTCTCCACGCTCACACATTTTGGAAACACTTAACAGTTTTTGAGCGCCCTCGAGAGCACTTTAAAAAAAGAAATCAATCATTCATGACATCAGTTATGAAACAGTCCACCCGGCCATCTCATCAAAGTGTTGTGGTGGCACAGCACGAGCCAGGAAGTGATTTTCACATTTTCTCTCCAGTTTGTCAGAAATCAGAACGTTGAATATCGTGCCTCATGTAGAAGATGGAGCTTCATGACATCTGGGCTCTTTATCCTGTATAGAAGAAACAGACACCAAATGAAAACCTTCTTGAACTGACTTGATGAAAACATATTTAAAGTTCCAGTGTGTAAGATTTAGGTGAAAGGGATCTATTGGCAGAAATTTAATGTAGAATAATCCTCATGATGTTTTCAATAGTTCGTTTCATCTAAATTGTATGAATTGTAGTTTTCTTTACCTCAGAAAATGCCCTTTATATTTAAATACTTTTAAACATATTTTTCACATTAGTCCAGACTGGACAAACTAAACACCTTTTGAGTTTTTATGACAACTGAAGCTACTACAGGTTCTTTTTTATGTTTAGAAGGAGAGGGTGAGGTGAGGGGTGTTCAGCTGCAGCATGAAACTTCGATACTAGATATCACAAAATTCTACACACTGTACCTTTAACACCTGAGCTTTGGTATATCACAATAAATTGGGAATTCATGAATTCATTTTATTTATCTTCTAGCACAGAACAGTTTTATTTTCTGTTGTGCTCTGATTTGTCAATTTAAAAAAAGAAGTTAAATAAATGGCTATTTACTCGTCTGAAATGTATTACATGCCATATAACTGAGTTCTATACAAAACTTTTATATTCTCTAAGGTAGGGCGGCACGGAAATGCACTGATAGCAAGACAGTTTGTGTTTTGAATGCCAATTTGGCCGGGGCATTTCTGTGTGGAGTTTGCATGCTCTCCCTCTGTTTGCGTGGGTTTTCTCCAGGTCCTGCAGCTTCCTCCCACAGTCTAAATACATGTACACTGGGGTTAGGCTAACTGGAATGTGTGAATGGTTGCTCTGGGGCCTATATGTCTATATATACGTCACTCCTGTGTTATGCTGATGACCTGGTACCGCCTCTCACCCAATGTCTTCTGCACGACTCCAGCAGAAGGATAAACTGTGTAGAAAATGGATGCATGGATACTCCAGTGTAAGGAATATATCAGTGTGAGCAATGTAACGTGTATTTACAAATGTATGATGCTAGTTTTTTTTCTCTCTTCTTTCAAATATCATCCTTCCTGAGATTATCTTAAATCTGGTCATAGTTTAATGGCACCAGCAACTTGTTCTGCAACAACTGTGTTTCCTGCTTGTAAACACAACTGGTACATACACAGTCACAGTTTAACTTGAAAAGCAGCGTCTGCTTGTTGTCTTTGTCGGGGGGGGGGGGTTAACCGTGGCCTGAAAACAACAACACTGTGCTGTGTGGTTGTTCAGTTCTCCCTGTGGTGTTCCAACTGCATGTATCTGCATTTTAAGCGTTAATATAAAAGGCTGTTTAATGTGTTGGGAATCTCCAAAAACAAAATACACTGTTAGCTCAACATCAGGTGATCTCTGCATCACAGCATCACAGCATCACAGCAGAGGAAGAGGAAGTTTCAGAGTTTAAATTATACAAATGTCTAAATGTGTCAGTGCCACGTGGGACTGACTTCTCATGCTGAGGATCATTAGGGATCAACATTTTCAAAGTGGAATTTGGTCTTTACACAACAAACTTGCTGCTCGTCCCTGTTAGTAAGAGCTGTATATTTTGAATACATGATACTTTCAGTGGTGGGATGTAACAAAGTACATTCACTTCATTACTGTATTTAAGTACATTTTTCATGTATCTACGCTTATGTATTTTTATTTTCAGATACTTTTCACTTTTACTCAACTGATTACATCAGCAAATATCTATCTATATAATATCAAGCATTGCATTTCATTGCTGACAAGGTTTTTATATTTTTAAAACTAGTCAATATCAAGAGCGGAATTGGTCATCTGATCCAATCAGAGCGTGTAGGTAGCATTAGGCCCCGCCTCCTGCAGTCCACCACCAGGACTCAAACATAATGATGTCGAACTGCATGAAAGAATAGGCGGCACTCAATAAGTACTTGTACTTCCTTATACTTTAAGTGTAAGTAAAAGTATACAAACAGCATTTTACCTGAGCGCATTTTTGTCCATTTATGCGTACTATTACAAAAATGAAATGTTTGAGCACATTTGAGTATAGGCAGAGTTAATTAAAACCAGGGTTCTAAAAAAGGCCAAACTCAACTGTGCTGGTAGCGGAGAGGGGGCGTGCTCAGGTGAAGTGCTCAGGTGAAGTGCTCAGGTGAAGTGCGGTGTCAACTGTGCAGTTGTTTGGATGATGCTCGTAAAACCCCTGCAGCCTGGGTTAATAGAGGCCAGACCATGAGCCACTGCCTGGAGGCACATTCTGAACGAGCACTGCACTCGTTCTGTAAATTGGAAGAAAAAAAAAAAAGATGTCTGCGGCTGACACTGACCTTCCTCAGTGGACTCGTGTACGGTACAGAGAACCTGACAGCCTCTCTGATCTCAGACAATTTCTCACCTCCACATTAAATCTTGTCACAGTTTGTCATTAGTAAGCTCAGCGTGTCAAGTTCAGCCCTGTACCTTGAATTAAACTCAGGTTTCTTTGTTTTTCATTATATTTATGTCAGTAATGAGCCTTTTTTTTCTTTCAGGTGCATGTGGAATAACACCATTCAATGCAATTTGTGTAACAAATCATCATCCCAATATTTTCAATATCATATGCAATATTTAAATTCCAATATCATTAGATATCCCATATTAATTACTCCTTTATCATTTCATTTCTTCTTACTGCCACTGTAGTTAAGTATTAGTTTCTCTTTATACACTTAATTGAATTGAATTTACATTTCTACTTTATTTGAATCTTCACTTGTATTTTAGACTTTTATTTGTATTCTACTTACCTTATCTTATTGTATCTCATCTCATCCTGACAGCTTTATACTCATTTACAATCACGAGAAATAGATCTGACTCCAGGTATCCAGTGTGGTTTTTGTCATCTGGAACAAATGGAAGAGTGAAAATAAACCTGTTTAAAAGAGCTTGGGGCGATGGAAGACCTAAATAGGTGAATTCTCTGTTTGTTCCTGTTTAACTGATCATTCGTATTAAACCTCCGGGTTTAGAATGAGGAGGAGAAATGAAGCTTCTAATAAGTAATAATTCAGTCTCCTCTAGTCAAATGCCATCCCGCTATCTCATCTCATTCTGTTTTCATCCAATCACTTTGAGCAATCAGAGTTTAAAAGTTGAACATGTTCTCTCTTGCTCCTCTCAACCCTGTCAGTTCAGTATTGCAGAAAGGGACCCACTTCCATAACTGCATCACCTCAACTCTGGATCACTTCCCTTCAACCATCCAACTGACACAATGTTTATAAAGATGGACGACATGACTGCTCCCCAAAAAGGAAGCCAAAGTGTATCAACGAGACGTCACCACCGCAACTCCAGCAATTGTATGACGGATATTTTGGCTTCATTTCTAAAAATACCGCTAGCAACAAGAACTACATAGTCCTATATGTAGAATATACACCGTATTTTCTTACCTTTTACTTTCTGTTGGTACATGTAACAAAAAACGCAGAGACGGTCCAAAGACAAGTGTGTTTGCAGCTCTGGCAAACACACTGCACTAAACGCTGTCTCAGCACCTGCACTGCAGAACAGAGGCCGATGAATCAGATTCCAGACACCTCCCTATCAGGTCCCCATCGGTACTGTATGATTACTGCTCCTCAAACACAAAGACTGCCACCTTGGTAACCAAACAACCGACACAGCTCTCGTAGGGATCCTCACATGCATGTGGCGAGAGATGACATGTTGGATAAATGAAGTCTTGGCTGTAATATGGAAGCAGGATTGTTCCTGCTGCAGCCTTGATTGCTTCTCCTTCCCTTAAATTGATTCCTGACGCAAAATCAATGCAGCTCATGCCACTGCACACGCAGACACAGAGGAGCACTTCATTATGTGACATTCATCAGCACAGCAATGAAAGGATGGCTATGACTCACTTGTTATCAACTTGGTTTGTATGTAAAGTTTGAATCCAGAGATGATATCAAGAGCATACAAGTTAATCAGATATATTTGATAATAATTAAATAAAGGTGAACATGCAATTTTTCAATCTGGAAACGACCACAAACTAAAACTAACATCTTTAAATAAAAGCAACAATTCGTGCTTGAATCTGAACACATCTGTAATGCCCTACATCTCATCCTGACTTTATGACCCAGCACATTTCATGATTTTCTGCCTCAAACTCTTCAATGCTGAGTGAAATAAAAGCATCGCAGAGATAATTAAACTTTTTAAATTTATCTCAACCTCTTTCCCTGTACAGATCTCTGGAGAGCCAAGTGTCAGAAAAGCAGGATGCTGCTCGTTTCACTGAAAGAACAAAAGTACAGTATCCTGAGTGACTGAAGTGCTGCTCACTTCCTCTGCCATCCCATTTTTCAATCTCCATCCACACATTTCTACACCCCACCACCTCCACCCCTTTGTATTAACGCCTCGCTGTTTTTAGTCTCGTGTTTTGCTCTTGCTTCTGCAACAGCTGATAATGTTCCTGCGGTGACAGTGTATAACGGCACAAGGGAGATTGAGGAAATTTATGTTCGCCCCATCAACATGCTTCCCTGAGCATGTGGCCCCATCCCCCCATCGTTCAGCAGCTCACTCCGCCACCTGCCTCCTATGCAGCCGAGACCTTCATCGTGGCCTCTTGTGAAATCTGTGCGTCCTCATGCGATTGCTTGTGTGAGCGTTTGCAGAGACAACTTGTTTTTTCCTCAGAAGCTCCTTCTGTTTTGGGTCGCACATTATGTTTGAAGCAGAACAAAGATCAAGGCCTCGGTTTGTTCACCGAGCTTCACTTGATGCTCAGACTGGAATCCTCATGAAATATTGAGGCTGAGTGAAAATGGAGGCAAGATTTTGAATGCTTCAGTGACCCTCACTGCTTTTGTGCAACCGGCCCGAACCACTACCTCACAGAGATCATCTGCTGTTGAGACATAAAGAAACTGAAGGTGAGGGCTGCAGGTGAAAGCAGGAGCAACATGCATACCAGGAAACTATTAACGTGACTTGCAAATGTGAATTTCTCTTGTGCAAATGCACAAATATGCAAGTTGAACACATATTATGTTCAATTATTATCATCACCGAGCTTCCACTGCTGGGTAATAGAAGTTTTGTTGATGGTGGAGGCTCCACACATGCTCCTCACTGTCACGCCTCCCGTAACATGACAAAACTCAGGCCTTTTGGACATAACTGTGGTCACACCTGCACAAGTCTGACACCTCAGTTCCTAATCCAGCTCGAGCTGCCCTGTTCCTCATTTCACAGTCTGCAAGCAAACAGGATTCCAAGCAGGAGGAAAAGAGGAAGAGCAGGTTTTGTTGCAGACAAAATAAACATAGAGATAAATATAGAGGTGGAAAACACACTTAACTATAGAATTCCGGGTCTGACCCTCCAACCTGCACATCTGTACACACCTATGGTGGGAGCTGAGCCCACATTTATTTTAAATGTGACTGTATAGGCAGCAGCTATATCGTAATGGAAACTCCTGCACAAAAATACGCAAATGGCTTCGAAATAACAAGGTTAATAGAAAACCCGCAGATAACAGGATGATCCGCAGTCTCTCTCCTGCAGATGCAGCTGTGCCAATACATCCAATTATCAACGACCGGTGATGTGCGATGGAGATTGAGAAGAAGAACAAAATCCTCCGTTGTGAGATGGAGCTCCTTACCGTTCACAGTCCGCAGGTGATCCGCTGGGAGAGGAGCGAGCTGGGGGAGGAGGGACGCGTCCAGCCCGGGCAGAGATGGAGAGAATCCGGAATGCAGCAGCATCCCTTGGAAAACAGGGAGGAGAGGAGGAGAGGAAGAGAGGGGGAGAGAGGGAGAGACTCAACGCCCATATCAACATGCACTCAGGTCGCCCCCTGCAGGTGAAACTCTCACATTATTTTCCACAACCTTCACTCAGCAGCAAAAATGTAGTTTTCTTTAATAAAGATACAAATATATATGATAATGTTGCATTAATCATGATAATAAAATGTTTTGCATTGGCTCAGCTCTTGTGTTC